ATTACATTTGTAACTAAATAACAGTACATATATGCCAGCTGAGACAGGGAATTATTGATCAAAATAATATGATCATAAAAGTGAGGAGCAAGGATTTTCATGTATCCAGTGCAGTGTGTACTGGTCGGGGATAAATGCCTTTAAACATAAAGTCGTTACTTCTTAACAAAAATATGGATGTGTGTACTATGAATGAATTCAAAACTATTGCTTTGTCCTTTATCTTGTTGTCATGGTTTCCTAGACAAATCTGTGCTACACGCCAAAATAAAACAAAAAAAACTTTTTTATCTTAGTACTATGTTAAGTGAATGTCACTAGTTGTTGGCCTTTCACAATGATAATGTTAAAAGGGTTTTTTACTGTTAAACTCTGAACTAAAATGCCCATCACACTGGTTAAGAATATGTTTGGGCTGAAACTAGCAATTATTTTAGTAATTAACTAGTCAGCGATTATTTTTTCCATTAGTACACTGGTCTAACATTTTCTTGTTCATTCTGACTTTTGTTTAACCAAACAGTGGTTAAATTACGCCAGCTGAGTTTAATTTTGATGGAAACTTTTTTTTTTTGCTACTTGGTATGTTTAAGAGTCTGCAGAGTCGAGATAAATAGTCAAACATTATTTTAGTGCTATGGTCAATTAGTCACAATTATTCTGATTCATCACTGTAGCCTAAAATGCATTAAAACTAAATATTTTTTTGTCTAAAACAGCATGACTACAAACTGGAATAGCTTAGATCTTAAATACAAACTGCATAACAAGCATCTCTGTGTGTCAATATGTGTCTCATACAAACAAAACGACAAAACATTTCCTCCTTCATTAATGTAATGAAGGAATCAAATCAATAATTCCAGGAAATAAAGATTATTGTTGACTTAATCACAATAATTCATAATTTCTATTTGCACTCTGTCCTCTGTATTAACCCTCGCCACTGTGAGGGTCAAGTCATTTACACAAATCAATAAAATGTTCTGTGTTATTACAGCAGTGATAGTGCGCTCACAGATAATCACAGAAGAGGAAATAGAGAAACGCTAAATGGAAGTTATGATTCAAATCTCTTTTTCTGGACACGAGTAAATAGGACAGCGCGAAGGCTAAGCAGCTTTAAAACACTTCAGTGATACCACTCTTCAGAGAGATTTACATTTATGAGGTTTTATTTACAGCTACACTGCAAAACCAAACATTCTGCTTTTAAATAAGAGAAAGAGAAAACTGGTTGCCTGATATTAAAAGGTGTTATATTAAGACTATTATTATTATTAATGTGAGTTTTTAGTCATGTTACAATGTTGTCACCTTCTCAAAAACATACCTGGAGTTGAGTTTTGTTTCATTCACACAGGTTTGCGTAACCCTTTAGTTCAGTCGAGACTGGTGAGCTGAAATTATCCAAAAAATTCTAGTGACCATGTGTGGAGTTTAAAAACACAGTGGAACACTTCCTGTATTGGCATGTGACATGACATCACAAGGTGGAACAAAGTGTTTTCTGACTGAGAGAAGAACACTGCTTAAATATGCAGCGTTTGTCTGTGAAACATGCGTAAATGAAACAAAACAAAACTCTCAACAAAGCACTGTACAATAAAAGGAGTACAACCACAACTGAACCTGAATTGCCAATATCTTAACCTGCATTTAAAGGACACACACATGTTTTCTAATTGTGAGTTTAGATCTCACTCTCACTGAGCTGCAGAGGTTGCATTAGCACTGATTAATGAATGGCTGGAGATGCTGGGGTTTTGGAGAATTTGAACATGTTAATCTCACCCTGTCAATATCACCCTGCTTATTTTTGCAAAAATAAAATTCTTATATACTGTATGTTGATGCTTCTAGCCAGCCTTATTAGCACTGAACTGTCTGAAATTAAAACAGAATTAATTTGCAGTTAGGAGGAAAGAGAGAAGGAGGTACATCACTATCAGTGTATGCACGTAGGCACTAATGGAATTTGACTTTTCCTTCAGACTGACAACATCAATTTAACAATTGAAAACAGACAGAGCATTTAATAGTAACAACATTGTCCTGATCAAAATACAAAACACGTTTCTGAAGCTGCATTTCGGTAATTAGGACCGGAGCTACCTGCCTTCAAAACGTTTCTGCTGTTTTTATAGAACAGTGCAGTGCAGTGAAACTATTCCATCTTCCAATAAGAAGCAATAAACTGTTTATTGACTTAGGCCCTTTTCCGCTTTTAATAAACTAAACATGTCCTCATGAAACACCCACAGTCACATGCTGAAATGCTAAATGTTTTCTGCTTGTTATTTACTTTCTGATCGGTGGCTCATTACAGGATATAGCCTCCTCTTTTTGTCATGTTGCCTGGTAGTTATAAAATAAGCAAAAATAAGATTAGAGAGAAGAATCTGTTGACTAAACTGCAGAGGCACAAAATCTATACCTGTTTACTATACTATCAAAATTAAAATAAGTACCAGTAGTGAAAAAGTCACATAAATGGGGCATGGTTGAGCCTTTCTGGAAGACATTGTACCTGATTTTTACGGTCTTCAAACTATGACGATCAGATTTAATTCATTTTAAATTAGTACTTAGTATTCCATACTTTCCTAATGCATTCCAAGCATCCTAATTATCCACTATGATGAGTAACAGAACTTCAGACAGAGCAGAGCTTACAGTTAGCATCCGACCCCCAGGCAATGTTGATGGCATCAGCTGCAAAGTATCAATAAAACCTTACAGCCCTGCTGCAGATCGATTTACCGTTTTGAACATGTTTGGCATACATAAACTGGATTCTGGGTCTACTCTGCAACCTGCTTCTTGAATTCACTTGTTTGGGCTTAAGGCTGTAGCAATATAAGGAACAGGTCCTGACCAAAACAAGCAAAGGACAAACAAGAAAATGAGAAGTAAAGAAAGAAAGAAATTATCAAACACTGACACAATTCAAGTTCATCCCTGGGGTGTGTTTCTTCTATTACACTGTAGCAGCAGCAGCCAGGCTCAGCTCACGATGTGATTGGCTGTCCCTAGAGACCCGCCCCCTCGGCACTAAACCTGATGACTGAGCCTGTCCATCCGATCCTTTTCTACACTAAAAACTGGCAATATTAAATTCTGCATATCATCTTATCTGCTTACAAACTTTGTACAAACATCACACACCTTAAAGGGCCCATATTACGCTATTTTCTCATCTATGTTATGATATATAAACAACACCAGGTATGTTTTTGATCCAGTAACAACATTTTAACATGGCTCAGAAGACTCAATACCTTTAATATACATACATATACATACAGTCATATGATTACCTCCTGGGCATTTCATTCTTACTCTTACCTACTGAAGAAATCCCACAACAGACATGCAGAGATCATATGCAATCAAAAGCATAGGAAGCAGAAATAAGGTGTTTATCAAGGCAAATTAAAAACATGTGATATAACATTGTTTTGAATTGTTGAATTTCCTTTTTTTCCCTTCTATTTCCATTTGGTAGAGCCCTGGTGCTACCAGGCTAACTTTACAACTTCAAATTTCAGTCTCTATTATGCTTTTCTTGTTGATTACCAGGTGGCCCTGGGACATTTTGCTTGCTTATTTTTGACCTACAAAGCACTATAAGAGGCAATCAAATCAGCACAATAGTTCTAGTCCTGAAAATACACCATATTTGTTTAAAAAGACTGTTTACATCATTGTGCTATCAAAATTGAGTATCAAGAAGAATTGGGCTTAGCATTGAAATCAAGTTTAAATTTTTTATATTGTGGCAACAGTAATACCACAATTCTAGCCAAGCAAATATGTTGCAAAATAAATAGCTTCATTCATATTCTGACCTTAAACAACCTAGAACACATCATTTCGAATACATTATTTTGCTGAAAAATAAGAACCTGAAAAGTGTACTGTAAACACCTATAGAGATGTATAGAAAACCATTGCCATGTTCTTATTCATCACAACCACTTTACTGCCAGAGTGCATTTTTAAATATAGACCCCATCCCCTCAACATCCTCTATTTTAGCCTGCACATGAGTCAAAAGTAGGCTACGGTTACGGCTGACATTGCTGTTTAATGATGTTACAATACGCATCTTTAAAGAACTTGGTGGCACTGTACAAAGTATGTGTCCCACTGCCTTCTAGCTCTATGCACCACAGCCCAGCTAATAGTAGATTCACATTCTCTGCCATCATAGTTAATTATCCATAATGAGCTCTTCTCGCAATATATTCAGAAAATTTTACTCCAGAAAAACGACATTAAGAGACCAGCTGCAAAGGACTGACTGGTTCAAACTTTGGATCTCTCCAGCTGTCACGACCCATCTGCCATAGAAAGGCTAATTGTCAACATTGCAATGAGGAGATGTAGAAGTTCAAGTAATACAGCGTCACCCAAGGGAGACAACAGACACTGGGATGGGTTTCGTAAAATAATATTCAACTGAGATCTGACCCTGTGATGAGCTGCCAACTTGGACCGATTGTTCATATAAAATGACTCAGTGCTTTTCTGTTTATTGCAGTTTTATGCTCAAAACTGACAAATACAGACTGTCCAAATGGACAGTCTTTGCCATTCTGACTGACCAAGTGAGCGTATCGAACTAATCATAGTAAAATGTGAACTGTGGGTGAAATGGATGGCTTTATGTCTTGAAGGCAATAAGATAATGAACATATCTAAATAAATCTAGAATCAAAACTAAATATTAATTTATGCAAGTATCAATACATTTTTTACACAGAATTGATCTGAAGTGATCTAGGGCATGTGCAACAACAATTCATGTTTAAAATTACCTGTGTCTCCAGCCTTTGACAACACAGTCTATACAGTCTATATACTACTTCTAAATAAATATGAATTATGATAAAAATTGAAATTTGATGTAGTATCTAAGAAAATCATCACATGAATTTGTAATTTTATCCACCGCTGACCAAATACGTATTGTAAAAAAACAAGGTGTTACTTACCCAAACGATGCAGATTTCCACTGACGGCATGGCGTGGCCCTCCTGCAGCCCGCCGAGGAGGAGAGCCTCCCAGGATTTTCTGTGACCTCCAGAGGTAAAGAGGCATGTCTCCTATAACAGAAATAAGGACAGACCATATTAGGGCAGAATGCATTTCATGTGGTGCTGACATGAAAGGGTAAAAGGAAAAAGAGGTGAGCGGAAGAGGAGAGGAGCTGCATTGTAATCATTCTAGCTCCTGTGAGGTGTTCCTGTGGGGCCTGCCTGACTTTTGGGTGACTTTTTTTCACACACTGTCAGCGTAATATTTCAAAAGAGGAATATTTTAGAGGCACCAAAAGGCGAGGTTCTTATATCAAGGAGCTACAACACTGTAGAGAAACATGTGTAATAAAAACAAAAAATAAAAAAATAAAATCACCAAGCCCAAATGTGAAAGATTACACATTTTTTGGAGTCATGACTCATGTTTCATGCACACATGATTTTTGAAGTGTGAACATGCCATATGCCTTTACACACCAGGACTACACCAGGAGTGCCCTCGGGCTCAAAACATCTGGTGAAGCAGCATCCATTTGTTTGATGCATACATTGACATTTTACCTGCCTTACCTATATGAATGCAGTGTGTGAGTCAGTCTAATAGTAGTAGCTTACTACAACTGAGTTTACAATGAATGAATAATGCATGACATTAAACTGTAAAGTGACTTTGAGCTTCTGCGCTAAAAGCAACAATATTTTTTATATTTATGCTATTATTTTAGAGTGCACTGATGTTTGAAAAGTGGTTACACATTAATACTGTATTCATATTTCTGATAAGCCCATTTCGTGAAAATGGTGCAGATGAACAGCTTGCTCTGACCAGCACGCATTAAATCATATCAATTCTAAACTGGATTAGCTAACACTCCCTCCGTTTTCAGTACAAAGGAAAACAGCTGCCTCCCATTGTATTTTTGAAGATTTTTGCATCTCAGTACTTTGTTCTCTTGGCCTATATATAATAATTTTTAAAAGTCCATTTATAATTTTTAGCCCATGTCTGGTATGGTCATATTATAGTTACAGTATATAGCAGACACAAGAACAATAGGTGTGATGGATATGTATATTGTAGAAAGATTTCTCACAATCTGTCTTTGTGTAAATGAATATGATTTCTACCAATCATTAGCATGCCTAAAAGCTCAGCAGACACAACTGCCCCCACCCCACACGAAACTGTGTGTTGTCTTCAAATGTAAGTTAGTTGATTAACACAAAGCTGTGAAACTGTGAAAAATCACTCTGCTTTGATATGTATGTAACTTGTATTTCTGTATAAATACTCAGAGCTAAGATGCTGTGGAGGAGATGGTGAGAAGAGGTGACGGGAGAGAGGATACTCAGAAGAGGCTGTTGGTCTATATCTGCTGTAATAAATTGCGATAAAATCAGTCTTCTAGATCAGATCCGGATCAGCCTTTGGAATATGAAAGAGGATCCCATTGTCCATCCCTAAGTCAAATTTCATGGGGTTTGGTCAATAATTAACCGAGATATTGAGAAACAAAATTTTTGGCCCCATTTACCACAATGTTAACTAAAATTTCAAAGTGATCCAGAATCCAGGATTTCTTCTGGATCACCCCCAAAATGAAAGCAGTTCTTCCTTTTCACATTTCCAACAAATCCTGAAAATTTCATCAAAATCGGGCCATAACTTTTTGAGTTATGTTGCTAAAAGACAGACAAACAAACAAACAAACGCTGGCAAAAACATAACCTCCTTGGCGGAGGTAATAAACCTTTGATTGTATTCCAGAACTCATCAGGCTTCGCAAATGGATTACCGGTAATTATTTTTTCTTCAAGATCTATATAATTTTCTTCAGATCATAGGTCTTCTTTAAATATCACAATGACGATAATCAGAAGATAAACAAACAGAAATGCGCTAAACTGTATCTTAAAATGAAGTTAAGTTCAAGTATCAGACAAATGTGAAAAGTACAGAAAGATTACATCTCAAGTTTTGTCATTTTTTATGTCAGCTTCTGAGCAGCATTTTGATATGAGATGCACTTGATAATTAAATTTGCATATCTTCAAAACAACATTTACAATCATTTTCCACCTCTTGTTCTGACTATCATTTTATTACAGATTCTTCAATCAAGTTCATTCATATCTACACAAACAACCATTCTTTCCCTGTATAAGAACACAACGGTGCTTAAAGTCGACTAAAAGAAGAAAAGTGAGAATAAATGCTCACAGTTGACTTGCCTCTCCCGAGACACTTCCTCCATCTCCTGCAGGGTCATGATCTACAGCTCATAATGAAGGAAAGAATGAGGATCGAAGGTAAATCACCATCTTTGCTTTTCAGCTCGGCTCCTTCCACAGAGTGACGGAGTGGTACATTACTGCTGCTGAGGTGCTAATTTGTCTGTCAATCTCCCATCAGCTTTCCTGCTTTCATGAATGACTCAAGATGGCCGAAGTCCTCCACATAAGACTGACCTGAACTGGACTTGGAGGTGCTGATTTTCATTTAGGTCTTCCAATCCACTCACAAAAAATATTGCCTTGACTGCATAATTAAAGCTGTACTATGTAACATTTCGGCTGGAGGTCTGCCACCTACTCGACTACACAGAGATGGTATTTCTAGAATGTGTCACAATCCTGCATTAAGCTTGCAAAAATGCATTTAAAAACATGAATTCTTACTGTGACTGGAGTAGCCTGTCCACAGATTTGACCTTTAACTTGCCCTGGTGGCATCAACATCTTGTCTCCATGGAGATAAATACATTTAATGCCATACAGTGGAACATTTCAGCCAACGAAAGAACAATTCCATGGGGACAAGCAGGTGGCAGACCTTCCACTTGAAAAGTTGCACCTTTAATAATAATGCAAATTATGTGATTATGCAACTTCATTTAATCACCTACTTCAGAAACACTCTTCCTTTGCCTAAAAGCAGCACAACAGCAGAAACTAAATTTAAAATGCTTAGTAAGTTGTACATTCTTATTTTGTCCTTGCCCCAGATCTTTATAGGAGGCTGTGATTACATCATACAGTACAGTTCAGCTGGTACAGTATATACAGTACACAACTGTATTATGCAATCACTAGCATGGATATAAAGGCTTTTTTCTTGACAAAATGGTAACCTAACACTATTTGACTTCATTCTAATGAACAATCCATATCTTAATCCAAGATTCTTGATCCAAACCACAACAAAATTTCTTCATGACCCAAAAATCAAACAAGTTCAAATACTGGACAAGGGAGGCCACTGAAATCAGAAAACTGAGCATGGACCCAATCAACTGTGATTACAGAGCACTCCTCCTTTCACGTCCAAATAATTTCCCTTATGGATCAATGAAGTTTGTCTAAGTTGAAGCCTAAATCTATCTGGAACACCCTCCTCCAGAGTCGGGAGGCGTGATCAGTCTAAGCAACCTGCCAGGTCCATCAGGCTGACCACACCCACAGGAAGTAACAAGAGCTGATATACAACATGTCACCAACCAACACCAAGGACAGCTCTGAAGATGGCTTGCAGCTAGCAGCCAAAACATGTCAGCAGGTAAATACATCTCCTACTGTATTGTCTTTAAAAAGGATCCAAGAAGTTAATGACAAAATTCCTTGTTGATTTAAGACTAAATAAGTATTAAATGGTCAGATTTAGAGAAGAGAGAAACAGGTATAAATTAAAGACAAAAATACTTTAATGTATCTGCTCGAATAGACCACAAACTCATTACTCTATGGTCAGATCAAAATATAAATTTTTGGGATGGGAGATATTGACAAAAACTAAAATCTCAATATATGTTTTGATTACCGAATGACAATATTCATACAACATTATGACAATCCATCAGAAATCCTCTAAATGTATTTGTTAATGCCCTGGTTGAAGTTTAAGTGCCTGGCAAAACACAATGTACTGTAATAATGAACAGAATAAGTGATTTATGAATACAACTCTCACCTCTAATTGCGATTTGACCAACAGGCTAGTGTATCATTGGCGTGGTCCCTTTGCAGTGACTTGATATGCGATTCCTCTCAGTTGCCTTCACTTAGAGCGCTTTTGTCCTCCACTCATCATTGCTCAGACGTATCCCATCTCCGTTTCCACAGAGACGCTCTCCACTCATCTAGTGTTTGTTAAGATTTTCATCGAGCCGTACCACCTCTGAGAATCTCGCCTCAAAACGTCCCGCTCGCATTTCTCCGCCTGTCAACCCCGAGTCAAACCCCAGCAGCCCCCATCTCTCTGAGGGATGAGATCTTTATCCCAAATCCACAGACACATCTGGCCTACAGCAATTGCTGTTTAACGCCATAATGGCCATTTCACACTGTATAAATATGAGCGTATTCGAACACAGGATACATTATAGGAGCATGATTGCTTACATTGGGGGTTAGTTTTTGCTTTTCAGTACACTTGAATAGATAAGTAAGTAAAACCGGTTGCAAAATTTAAGTTAAGCAGTCAATCCCCATCTTAATAATATATCTGAAATGAATTTGCATGTAACTCCAATTGTTAGAAAACATTTATTCAACTAGTGAGACTAAAATCCCCATAACAAAAGAAGGTTGAATTCATCTTGTATACAATAAGGTGTACCTGTTATTAGTTTAGTCCGTTGAACTACACTACATGTAAACTGTCATCTGAGTTATACAGGCGTGTCAAAACTGAAGAAGCTACTTGGATGAGTGAAAAGCTTTGTCCAGAGTTCAACCTTTTCTTTTGATGTGGACCCTGCCTGGATGACTGAGGGGATGCATAGATGTAAAATGCCCATAGTCAATGTGAAAAATAATGGTTTGATTTGGTCAAGCCCCAAGACTCATTTGCTTAAACAAATCATAGTTCTACAATCGCTCTCAACCACTCAAACCACTCTTTCATCAAGATATTACAGAGGCCATTTTTTTCTTATTCAGATCACAAGCAGGGGAAAAAATTGGTACTGCTTCATCTTGTATCATAAAAACTATGTACTGTTCAGCTCTGCAAAATGCAAATGCAAAAATATGGGCAATAAGTAACATTGATACTCCAAAATACTTAA